TATAATCTTTTATAATTATTATTATTAACTGAAAAAAAAAACTAAATCTAAATTTAATATTATTTATATATTTTATAATTATTATTATTAATAAATATGTATATATAAGTTATGTATTTATTATAATCTTTTATAATTATTATTATTATTAACTCAAAAAAAATATAAATTTAATATTATTTATATTTTTTATTAAATTTTGTATTTGTTTCTCAACTTGGTTTTTTAACAAAGTTTTTTAGAGATTTTATATACGGCTATAATATTTTATATACTAAAAATATATTTAATATTTTTTAGTATATACCACATTACGACTCTTCTTTACATTTTTTATAGCTATTATTATTAATAAAAAAAAAATGTAATCATAAGTATATACATATTATGTATATACATACATACATAGTATATACAAATATATACATACATATTAAATATTAATTATAATTTTTTATTACTATTATATGAATTATTACTAAAATGATTCAATGCTTATTATAAAGAAACATATCAAGTAGTTCTCTTTTATTTTTGTTTCTACTCTCTCATTATTATATTTATCTTGTTTCTAGCTGTTATAAATAATAAAAAAAATAAATAAAACGTATTAATTAGCCAATCAGTTTTTTCCAATTATTTCAATTAGCAGTTGAAATAATTTTATTTATATAATAATTGCCTTGAAACGTCGTTTGATATGAAAATTTGCTCAAATCAGATTGGCTTAATTGTGATGGAACATATAAAATTATAGTTGTGTCTGTACTATTGTGTGCAACACAATCAAATAATTCAATTGAATTATTAGAAAATAAAACCCGCCCATATACAAGACCATAGTTTTTGTAATGGTAAAAGGGCGTATTGTATTGATATGAGAAGATGCAAAAATTTATTAAGAGAGCACAATTTCTTTTATATTGAAATAATGGAATTGATTTCACCTGAAAAAGAGACGGTCTCGGATTGGCTAAGAAATTGTATTTAACTGCCACATACAAGTGTACAGCGTTGTTTTTGTTTAATTGAGGGGAGAGTAAAAAAATACTCATTTATCATTTATAAAACATGTTGCTGTAGCTTGATGCGTTGTTTTTTTTCTTCTTTTTGTCGTTTTGCTTTTGCCTTTTTGTTTTTGTTTAATTTGTATGTAAAAAACTAAGCAGCATACAGCACGAAAAGCAGCTTTGGGTTTTTATATAAAATAACAATAAAAGCATCAACACAATTTTTCAAATGAGAGAATTAAGTTTTTTGAGCGAAACAAAATGAATATGAAACATACATTTGTTGCGATAAAAACAAATTCACCACGCTTAGCACCATAATATTTTCTCCTATGCTCAAATTGAATTGAATTGAAAATAAAAAAAAGTATAAACAACAAAAATAGCAATTTTGATATCTTGCTGGTATGATATTTGTTGGTGCTAGTGCTGTTGCTATTGCTGGTGCTGCTGCTGCTAAGTGTTCAAGCAGGCAATCGTTATGTGTTTTGTTGTTGATACACGAGTTCGTGTTGTTTTTGTTGTTGTTTTAATTGGAAGAAAAAGAAGGACTGTTTCATTTCAGAATTCCAATTCAATTATAATCATTTTATTTAGTTTAGTTCTCACCGTCGTGTATGTTGGAACGGTGTCGGACGAGTGTTCAAGTGGATGTGTTGTAGATTTGCGATTGATTTAATTAAACTTTTATATTAAATTTATTAAATGTTATGTGTACAACAAGTTTATATGTTGATATATATATGTGACAACAGTGTTAATTAAATGTAATAACTTATTAAGAAAAAATAAACTCTGTTTATTAAAATAAAATAAAAAAAATTAGTAAAACAAAAATAATACTTAAAAACTTTTAACTAAAAAAATTTTAAAACAAATAATTTTTACAATAAAAAACAGTATTTCGTACGGTACCTAGCGGCGCTTTTTCAAGAAGAACGTGTTTGTCTCCTCGTTTCAGCATTGCATATGCAATTTATGTATAACGGTTTGGTATGTTGTTGCTTTTGTTTTAATTACTTTTGGCTTAATTTTTTTGTTACACAAAATATATTCACAAAAGGAAAACCAAAAAAATGAAAAATGTAAACTTTCCAAATAAACAAAAAGGCTTTTTATGCTAAACAATTGTTTTTGATTTTGTTGTTGATTTTTTTTAATGCTGATTAAAATGCGTCCTATGTAGACTAGAGAGAGAGCAAAGAAACACTGCAATCAAGCAATTAAGCAAATAACAATTAACAAAGTGCAGATGAAGTGTGTGTTTTTGTTGTTGTTGTCGTCAAATGTTTGCGCTTCAGTTTTTTATATAAAATATTTTACAAAAATAATACGAAAGAGAAATAATTTGATTAAATTATAAATTTTTAATTTTACCATTCCAAAAATAAAAGAAATTCATTTGTGAAGAGAAAAATATATTTTTCAATAAATGCAATTAAATGCACTAAACACAATGGATTGCAGCGTTCGTTCAAGTCAAGCCGATTCGGATTTAGGTGACGATTTGGTAAGGAATTTATTCACAAAAATAATTAGCAAAAAAAAAGTAAATATATAAATTCCTTCTTCCCTATGTACATAAATGTTACTTCTTAGAATTGTAAATAGTACCCTCGTATATACGTTTATCCTCATGTCTATAGAAATCTAAATTAACCAAAAAGCTGGTATAGCACCGTTTTTAGCTTAATTTTAGGAATAGAAAGTTATGGAAGGCGTTGAAAAATTTTATTATTTTTATAAAATATTAATACAGTCAAATTTTCATAACTTGAATTTTTTATAACTCGAACTAAATAGAATGCAGCAGGGTTTAGAGAGCAAATTACATACAATAACAAAAAAATTTTTTAACTCAGTCTCCATAAGTCGAACCCTTTCTTTGCAAAAAGGTACATAGAGTTATAGAAGTTGAACTGTATTTTAATATTAATATTAAAAATTAATGTTTTTTTGTTTTATTAAAAAACATTAAAGAAGATCTACCCATATGCGATAAATAATAAAAAAGGCTTAGCACCACAGTTTAGTTGTTTTTTCGAAAAAAAATCACAAAAAAAATATCGAAATATTTTCGAAAAAGTTTAAAAAATTTTTTTTAATTTACAAAACTATAGAAAAACAAATAAACTGTTAACAAAATTCATAAAGAAATTTAATTGAAAAATTACTCTTTTTTTTTTTAAAGCTTATAGGGTTTTTATTGCTTTGTTTATTTTTATTAAATTTAAAAATAAATGAGTATTTATTTTATTGTTTTTTTTTCGAAAAAGCTTTATAACAAAAAATATTTAAATAAAAATTCTGTATTTTAACAGGCTAATTGGTCAATAGTTAAATAATACAATTTTTAAAAAAATTTTGTTTTTCAAAAGATTTTATTTGAACCGATATTTCGACTATAATTTATAGTCATCACCAGGGTACTACATAATGTTATTATAACGTGAAAATTTTCTTTTTATTTTTTTTTTGTGTAATATATAATAAAATTTTGTTACATTACATAGCAAAATATATCATCATAGATAATATGATGGTGGTTATAGAACATAGTCAAAATATCGGTCAAATAAAATCTTTTGAAAAACAAAAATTGTTTTAAAAAGTGTATTAATTAACTAATGACGAATTAACTCGTTAGAAACCAAAATTATTCTTAAAAAATATGTGGTCATTATTGTTTTAATTATTAAAAAATATTTTGAAATTAATTGTTTCATTATCTTTTAGTTAAAATACCACATATATATTTTTATTATATATTTTAGTGTAATTTTAATTTAATTTATAATTAAAATGTTTTATTTTGTCACAATAGGTTTTATTTTATTAATTTTATTAATTATAGTATTTTATTAATTATTATTTTATTAATTTTCAAAATTAAAAAAAAAAATTAAAAACAGTAAACTTTAAAAAAGAAATTTAATTCAAAAATTATTTATTATAATTTTATTAATTTATTTTTTTAGAATAATTTGTTTTCATTGTTTTTTCACAAAAGGTTTATAATTTAAATTTAATTTGGAAAAAAACAAAGTAATAGAAATTTAAAAAAAATTAATAAAAAAATTTAATAGAAAATAATTTTATTTAATTAATTTTAATTAATTAATTTTAATTAATTTTAATTTAATTAATATTAATATCATTGTTTTGTCATTAAAAAACAGTTTTAATTTAGTTTGCAAAAAAATTTTGTTAATTTAGAAACAGAACATTTTATAACAATTTAAAAAAGGAATTAAATTTCAATTAATTTCTTGTGTTTTATAAACCGAATTTTATGATTAAAAAAACTTAAATTTTTATTTTTAAAAACTGTTTTTTAATATAATAAATTTTCAATATTTTAATTATCATCGAAGGCATCTTTAGAGTACTTTTCATATTTTTTTTAAATTATTATTTAAAACATTGTAATTATATATTGTATATATAGTCTTATTTATACCTTCGGGAAATATTTCCCATTTTTTAATATTTTTGAAAGAATATTATTACTTTCAATATCTTTTTTTTTTAAAAGAATATCTATATAAAGTTCATTTATTTTAAAAATATTTTTGAGATTATTTTTTTTTAAATTACCCAAAATTTTTTTAATATAGTTAATATATATTATTTTCTAATGAAAATTTTTTAACTGTTATTTAATATTTTTTTGGTATTTATTTAAAAAAAAAACAAAAAAAACTTAGTAATTAATTCTTGACATCCTTCTAAATTATTACTCATCCAATGTGTTTGTTATAGTTACTTATGTTTAGAAAAGTAGTTAATTGTCCAGTAGTTAATTGTCTAAAAAGAATCAGTGATGTTAAGAGGTTAAATCGATTACATCTGGTAGCTCTCATACCCATACTAATGTCATGAAACGTGAATCTAATTGATATATTAGATTGTTGTGAAATTGGAAACTAATTTTATTTTCTTCCAAAGATTTTATTAAGGAATAATTTTAAGTTATATTTTTTTAATTAAAATTTGTTAATAGTACTTTTCAGTATTTTTTTTAAAACCACCTACCTTGTGCTAGGTGTCCAGTTTATTATTTATATTTTTATATTCAATTATTCAAATTTACAATAAAATGCAGATGTACATACTTCTATTTAGATGCGAATTTGTTATCTTAATTCTTATTCCTATTAATTTACTTCCCTAGGTTGCCGGCAATTACAATCAATATTAATTAATCTATATAAACAACCTTATTTAATTTCTAGTTAAAAAAATAATGCTCAGATACTTTTTAATTATTCTAAACAGTTTCTCATTGTATATTTTTTTAAATTAATATTGTATACGATCATATAATAAGTAAACAATATAATTATAATAATAATAAAAGTCATGAGTATGATATGTACTGTATATAATATGTCAACTCCTCGTTACGGGCTACGAATATCACAAAGGACCGTATTTTGGCTTGAGTTAACGCTTTTTAAAATCCACAGACAAAATTTTATCCAAATAATGTCTTTACAAGACAAATTTTATTGCAAACTAAGTATAAGAATAAGTGCTGGAGTAGAAATCAAATTTAAAAAAAATATAAATAAATATATTTAAAATTTTTATTTTGGGGTACTCACGATCTCGAGTAACTAGCGCCGAGTAACACGGTAACACTATAAAATGCCAATAATAAAATTCATGTCTTCGAAATGTATTTTGTTGTTATTGCTTTGCACTTCTACTATGTTACTCCTTTGCCGACTTCCTTACATTATATCATGAATACCCCTAAAATATTATTTAAAAATTAGCAATTAATCAGATGTAATATAGCTAGCCATAAACTAATGTTACTCTTTAATATCGGCTTTCGTTCTATAATTTTGTGATATGGAATATAAGTATTTGTCTATAACATTTTGCACTTAGTTCAGATATGTTTTGACAGAAATGTTTAAAATTACTCAGTTCCTCATGCACTCTCTATGGCAACGTGACTAGTACAAAGTAATTAAGTCAAGACCTAAGCTTTAGCTCTGATAAAATTTTGGTTGCTAATTTCAGAGCCGGAAGTTCTTATAACCAAATGATATCAAGAAATCTTCAACCGCTGTGAGTTTTGACTTCAGTCGCTTAGCTGATTATCTTCTTCTCAGTTAGGATGAGTTAGCAACGAAAAAGATCTTTCACGTACTTCGGTACTTCGTTTATTTCTAAATTTTCTAGCGTGAGGCAGTCGATTGGATAGGAACTTCTTTCACCGGTCAGATGCGGAACGGGAAATTATCACTCATATAACCCACCAAATCCTTACTTTAGTGATTCTTATCTTTAATTGTCGATTTAGCAGTGTATGTAGAGATTAATTTTAAGGAGGAAAACAGTGGTGTGTTAGGGGAATGTTGTTTTGAGAACTAATTTCAAATTAATATGAAAATATTGAATTAAAAAAAAATTATTTATATATAGTGTTAAATTATCAGAAAATTTTTAAAGAGGATTGCACGCCACTGTGTCTGTGTTATATCACTAGAGTCGATATTTAGAATATTGCCTGTTTTATTAGTACGGCAATATACAATATTCAAGTTCAATGAAGATCTTTTCTTTGATTGAAGTTTTGTTAGCTAACGTTTTTAGGCTTCTGCTAGCAAGAACTCTTACGAGACGGGCTGCTATTAATGTGTACTACATATACATATAGAACTATATATAAATAACAACACCATAAAAATAAAATAATAAAAACTTATAGTTATTTAATGTGCTTGGTGTATATTTTTGAAATGAAAAATTTTTCATTAATTCGACTCGTAAAAGATATCTTTAATGTCAAAAATAATTATCTCCTAGAAAAAATGACAAAAGAAATTATTCAATTACGAAAAAATCTAATAAGATTCTTTACCTAATTTGGTGAAGTTTACAATTCCTTACTTCCTAATAAGGAAATTGCCTGCAAAATATTGAGATATTCACCACAAACCCCTAATGCCAGTATTCCGATTATTCCCATGAAACTACATCAGCGGTAATTTTTTTTCTTTCAGAGCTGTACAAAAACAGCATTAACTGGTTTATTTTTGACATATGTTGTTGGTTGTGTGGTACATAATACGAAATAAAAAATTGTAAGCACTAAAAATTATTTAATTTAAATAAAGTAAAACAAAATGAATATTAGTAGGGAAATGGTTAGCATTTTTATCTTATAAATTTAAATTAATTTGTATATTTATTTGAATTTCTCACTAAACGAAATGCTCATGCGATTTTAACGAATAATTGGAATTTTGCAACATTTTTCCAGTGACATTCACAATAGAGAGATTTTTAATTTGGCTGCACTAAAACTGAAGATGTTAAAATTTTTACGAGTAAATCCTAACTCTGAAGGTTTTAAGAGCATTGTTGTTGTTTCACATGTTTACTTTCGTAAGTTGCGAGTATTTTTTTGCTACTCTTAAAGAAAAAATTACGGCTGCTATAAAAGTTATTATTGAAAAGCTGGTTTAGGATTTTAAAAGCGATTATCATTTA